GCACAGAGTCTTGTACCCCACATTAACCTGCTAAACAGGATAATGTGGGTCTATTGAGCGCAACTCAAATTTTAGATAATTTTATAATTTATATATAAACTTTTTTAGTTGATATATAAATTATAAAATTTAAATATCAACTAAAAACTTTTTAAAATGATTAGACATCATTTTTAGTAATTTACTAAAAATGATGACTAACCATGATTTTAAAATGGTTTTCTACAAAAAACAGAATACTTTGCTACATATATTTTTTCCTCAATATCAAAAATAAATAAAAATAGGCTTAGATTTCCACATCCTACCCTAATCTTATTAATATTATAGAATAATATATTTGTTGACAACTTTTATGTTGTTTTTACTTTTGTATTAACTCAATAATTAAGGTTTATTAATGATGCAGTGAATTGTGACCTCGTAAACATTATATAGGTTAATTAACTTATAAGTGCTTACTCCATACAAGCGATGTACTTTTTTTTTAAAAGATGCTGCACTCTTTTTTATTTTTAAATTTTTTTTTTGCCGTGCAAATATTTACGTATGTAAAACCATCGCAAACGTCGGCTGTTTTATCCAATGCAAAACTAATATCGATCCAATATCATTTGTTTAATGATGAAATTAATACCGACGGAACCAAAAACAGCTGGTACATTTACATTGGTCCAACGTATGTAAAAATATCGCAAAAAGTTGTTTTTACGATGTAAACCCAAAGTTGATTCAATGTGTATAAACCAACGTTGAATCCAATGTTATTAACCCGTCGTTGATTTAACGTGTATAAACCAACGTTTATTTAATGTATATACATTAAATCAACGTTAATCCATATACATTGGAACAACGTTGGATTTTATACAGTGGATCGATTTGCATCGAGAAAAGGTATATATACAAATATTTGTATAACTTCTGAGAATTATTTTTCATTAAAATATTTGAGTTGATTATGAAAAGATATTTTGCTGATATATTTTTTTTCTTTTTTGATGAAATATCAAGCCACAAACAAAACAAACATAAATAATATTTCTTTAATCCGATGCAATGTATCAGTTTAATAATATGTCGGAAGCAATAATAACTCATAAAAATGGCTGAAATATGTATGTATAAATACATATATACATATATAAATACACATATACATATATAAATACGTATATCAATACATCCATATATGCGTATAAATTTATAATATTTTAAGTTTAAATGTATATGCTTAACATAAAACAAATAAATTCAATTCCGATAAAAGGTAAATATAAAGTTGTGCAAACGTAAAATATAACGCCGAATCAACTTAAAATAAAACGTTTTGCCAACGTAAAATACAACGTTGAATCAACCTAAAACATTACACAATGCCAAATTTTAAAATCAATTTTTTTAATGCTTTTTCTCAACTTAAGATAAGGCATCAAAATGCATAAGGAATAAAAATCATTTGGGATCTTAAAAACCAATTAGAATAAAAATAACTGCAAAACTAACTGATAACAATTTATAAAATAGACCTAAAAACCGTAAGTTAAAATGTTTTCAAATAAATGAGACATTCTTAATTACATAAAATGCATGTTTATGTAATTTATATTTTGCAAAAGTTATTAGTATGGAAGTAAACATTTACTGAAAGAAGTTAGCTAACCAAAAATGTCGGTTTAATTTGTAAAATTATTTCAAAAAATGACGCTAAGAATTCCAACACGCATGGAATTTTTAAGGTTGAAAATTGCCGGGAAATTTTGCTCAAAATTTAAAAAAAATCTTTATAGCTATAACCTTCATAGTTTTATAAAATTCGTTTCTTTATTTCAAAAATATGTGTTTTATCATCGTAGTATTTAGGTATTCTTTAAATATTTCAACAAAAAATATAAAATAATAAATACCCACAAGCAAAAAGTACACATCTTTTAGTCAAATTTTTATAGTCAATTTAAGAATCACACATTTTTTAAAAAAAACAAACAATAAAACGTCTAAGTAGTTATACTTTACTTTTTCTTACATTACTTTTGTAAAACATCAAAAATATATGTTTTCCATGTTACCTTGTCTTTTAAGCGTGTGTATAGCATCTAGCTTTTCCTTTAACTCTTAACTACGATGTTAATAAAAAAAAAAAATACAAAGAATGAAGTCTTTTTTAGATTAATAAAATTTATTGTGTGACTATTTTTGTAGAGTGTTTTAAACAAACAAAGATTTTTTATCCTTACATATTGCATACAAAAACGATTTTAGGGGGAGGGTGTGGGGAGAAGGGAATGTTTTACCCCCTCAAAGAAGGTGATTTTTTAGTCATAGTCGGTTTTTTGACGGATTTAGTCGACTAGTCGGGTATTTGATTATCTAATCGGGTATTATTATCTAATCGGGTGAATTTTAGTTTTTAAGAACCTCTTTTACTTTTATTTTTAAGAAATAGTACCTTTATGGATTCCTCTCCTCCCCTCCTCATTAAATATTTAAAAAATGACTTTAAAAATTGATTTATAAAGTGACAAGTCTAGATGTCCTTATACCGATACCGTCTTATCACTGAACACCGCGGAAGCACATTTGAAAGGAAGTTTAAGCCTCCTTCCTTATCGCTGTAGTAAAGCTTGCCCAGAGTTGGCGTTGAAAAACGGATTTTTAGCTTCTGAGGCAAGCGCTCAAACCGCAGGGCTAATCGCTACGCTACGGCTAAAACGCACTTGTATAAACATAGCCGTGGACTTATGACCTCAAAATCATTAGTTCTTTATTTTTATTGCTAACTTCATTTTTTAATAGTTTAAATTTAGAAAAAAAATTTCCTTACATTTTATTTTTCATTAATCAATAACGTCTTTAAATCAACAAAAAATGGTAAAATACTGCAAATAATCAAATCTTTTTATATACAATTTTATAGTTTTCAGTAATTTGTTGGTCAATTTAATAGATATTGACAAATACGGCAATGAACATAAATCTGCATAGCAAATAACTGGATAAAATAGTTTTGCAAAATTTTGAAAACAAATTATCATAGTTTTAAGTTTTTTTATTATAGCTTATTGTTATAATAAAAAAACTTAAAAAAATACAAAAAAAAGTGTTTTTCAAAGGGGGCTTTCTAAAATTTGCATGAGCTGCTTCACAATATTTTACCATAAAATTGTTCACAACAACTGCCCAAGAAACAAAGTTTTACCCATTATAATGGGTAAAACTTCAAAATTATCTTTGAATTGTGAGCAATTTCTTTAGTGTTTCAAGCCGTTTCTTAATTGCATTTATAGATCGCTCAAAAAATAATTTTAAAAAATGACGAAGAACAGATTATATTATAATGATATAAATGAAATCATTTATATTTTTTTCAATGATAATGGTGGATATTTTTTTTGTTTGATCAGCACTATGAAGGCTTCATTAATTTAATATCAAAAATGATATGTTTATCTATTTCTTTTTTATTTGTTTAAGTTTACATGAAGAAACTATATATTTTTGTTTACATGAAGAAACTATATATTTTTGTTAACATGAAGAAACTATATATTTTTTTTACATAAAAACATAAAAAAACTATATATTTTTAATAATGAGCACACTAAATAAAGGAATTCCTTAATTTAGTGCGCTCAAGGAATTGTCATAGACAATTCCTTTATTTAGTGTGCTCATTAAAAATAAAAAAGCTGCAACCATCACATTAAATAACTGTCGCGTGCCAAATTTTACTTCATACTAATAAATCAAGGTATTTTTCAATGCTTTTTTTTATCCTAAATTTACAATTTCGTCAGATTGAAAGTGGTCCGTGACTGAAAAAAAAAAATTAGAAACCACAGCTATGAGTTATAACTCATAGTCGGTTCTCGAAAAGTTAAAAATAACACTATTCGGGCAGTCGTGGTGTACTGGTTAGAGTTTGGCCTCAGATCTGGAGGCCCGTGATTTTAACTTGATACTGGTCGTATAAGCATTACTGGTAAGAAAGAAATACGCATTATTGATGAAAAGGAAGGGCATTAACCTCTATTTAAATGCTATTCAGTGGTGGTATCTGATAAGACCGTTCTCGGAGCACCTAATTATAAAAAAACTCTATTTGTATTTGAAATTTTAAATAATCATTTTGCATATTATATTGTATAAGCATAATTTTATTATTTTGTTAATCGAAATACGGTTTTTTGAGTACCCTCCACCCCCTAAAATAACCTACCAACCCAATATTTTATATTTCTTTAAATTTAGTGTCTAAATATTTTGATAATGGATCTAACGCCCCCCCCCCACTATCTCATATTATACGTCGTCATTTGAAACCCCCTCTTTCTCTCCGAGCGTACGTACTTTATGGATGATCTTCAGGAGGAGGGTCAATTTAAAGCGCGTAGTTTTAATAATTTAAAATTACGCACTCTTAGTTAAAAACTAATTCTTAATTTATATACATTCTTTCTAAATTATAACATTTTCATTTCGTAAAAAAGGGGCAAAAAAATTCAAAACTTTTTATCAGGGCTTGCAAGTGTAGAAACAGCCCCCCCCCATTTCTAACTCTTTAAATTGACCCCCTTCTCCTAAGGATCGTCCATAATGTACGTACGCTCGGATAAATTTCTTATAATAATAATACTCTTTTAAAAAAAGTTTTAATGGATTTACCGAATTTAGCGAGTGCACTTGAACTAAATACAAAATAATCTCAAAGAAATTATGCTGTGAATTTTTTACTTCATGCATTCCTTAATATGCAGTAATGCATTCTGTAACAGATCAAGTTACGAAAAAAAAATTCTAAACATAACATTTTTTGGTTTAAATTAATAAAAATTATAATCAAATACCTTTTTTAATTATATATTTTTTAATACCAAATAAAAAATTTTCACACAATAGTTGTTCACTATTGCAATTTCAATTAATAAATATGAAAAAGCTATTTTTTTTAAAATTTATGTCAAAATCAAATCAGGTTTAAAAAAATACAAAGAAAAAGCTAACTTTTATTTAAATCGAGTATTATAAAACAGCAAACAAAAAATGCGCTTTAACATTTAGTTCCGTAAGGTGATCAATACAACTACGTAAAATTCCGACATTGCAGCATGACCATTGTCTGAGAATTGAATAATGTCTTAATTTTTACATTCCTACACTCTCAAGATAATCAGCAATTACACCAACAGCCTTGTTTGTATTACCTTGCTGGCAACCTTCTGATGTATGTCCAATAACTACAGCTGATTTACTTTTTTGAATTGTTATAGCTCCATGATCTTTCTTTTTAGCAAAAGCTACTTTTCCATCTTCTCTGAGAAATTGATATTTAACACCTTCCATAATAATACCATTTGCTTGGGCAGATGAGAAATCACCAGACTTCATCATTTGGGCTATCTTCTGTCCCTCAGCAGGTGTTAATTGAATACCATGAGGATGATTTGGAGAAGTCCATGATGCACCTCCATCTAAAGATATTATAGCAGCTTTACCACAGTGCGCTTTGCCAGTTGAATCATTTGATTGTGCACAGAGATTATCAAGATAAGAGTCCCACGACATTGCAAATCTAAGTTTGATTTAGAGATAAATTAAAAAATTATAACTTTCAAAAATGATTTTTATATTGAAATTAAAATTTGGTATTTAAATAAAAAATATGCCTAAAATTAAACTCTTAAAAATCACATAAAGTATGTAGATCTTAAATCACAGCAATTGACAGTCAAAAGTACTCCAAAACGCCAACCTTAACATGCTGTTTTTAGAATACCAATTTATACTTCATATAGATAGGCAGACAGATTTGTTTTAAAATATATAAATGAACCTTCAGAACAAGGGTCTACATACATAAATACATACATCCTCACCTACCTGCTACTTCAGACACTGTAACTGTTTGAGGTCAATGTTTTTTTTTTGTTAATTTAGTCAGTGAAAATATTATAATAATTTGAAAGGCAACCAAAAACACTGTAAGGTTGGGGATTATTACTGACTTCCTTTTCCTAATTCTAAGGGCTGATATACATAAAACCCTTGGAATTAGGGTCAGCTTTCAGCAATGCTAACCTGAAAGTGTTCAAGGTCGGCAAAATATTGCCAAACTAATTTCTTTTGTTTTATGGGAACCCTCTTTTTGTCAATTTTTTTTGCTGACCTAAAAAATTTTGACAGAAAAAATTCAACAATATATTGCCAACTTCAGTTTTCCTAATTCCGAAGGTTGAATGTATGTATGTATGTATATATATATACACACATATATATATACTGCAAAGACTGCTTGTTATATAAATGATGCATTGCTGTAATATGTATAAATAAATGTGGAAAGGTGGCATTTACATGTACAAGAGATTTAAAACAAAGTGAAATTCAAGAATAAAAAATACCCACTATCATGAACTTAAATCAACAGCAGTGTATGCGTTATATGCATGTGCAACTGATATAAACTTTTAATATAATTATGAACTAATCAATTTTGAACTAGTGGAATATATATAGTCAAGACTACTCATTTTTGTATTATTTATTTTCATTAGTGCATTCTCTTTGATTAGCACCCTCTCAACCCTTTGAAAAAATGTGATCTTACAGTTAACAGGCCTAAAATTATTATACTTTTTTTACTTATTACACTTGTCCTGACATTTTTTAAACACAGATGAATATTCATTGACTTCAGTACATACATTGACTATCTTATAGCCTACTATCGAAAGAGAGTGCCGCTATATCAACTGAGGGTTTGGCATAGGTCAGCAATCTTTTTTCATTCCTTATGGAAATAATAAAAAAGATTGCTGCCTAATGTCAAACCCTCAGTTGATGTAGCTGCACTCGCTTGCAAAAGCAGGCTATAAGATAATGTATGTACTGAAGCCAAATAAATACTCCATTAACAAGAGCGCAATAAGCATACAAAATAAATTAATTTAGACTGCTTAACTATAGGATTAAACGAAAATATCATTATCATACATATCTCAGGTTTTTGAGCATTTAAACAAACAGAAAAAAGTAGAAAATATGATAAAAATATAATACATTACATAATTATATTTAAAACATTTTTACAAGGTAACAGTTTACTAGCAATACTAATTTAGTAAAAAACACTAAACTATGCTTACTCTGAAATAAAAACATGAAGGAATGCATTTGCATATATATACATCACATGCGCACACTACTGTGGATGTCTAATTTGAGGCGCCCCCTTTTAGTAAGTTCATAAAAACAAGTCAGGTTGTATGCATAAAATTTATTTGAAACTACACTCTAACCTTGAACCCAAAACTAAAGTTTACTTTATAAAAAGCCATACCTAACCAAACCCTGAGCCCAAACCTGAGCTCAACTCTAAGTCAGAGTTTGGTTAGGGTATGGTTTTCAACAATACTCATTTCGTATGACTTTTTTACAAACTTACTAAAGGGGGTGCCTAAAATACACATCCACCCACCCTACAGTAGAAAAAATAATTGGGCAGTAACGAGACAAAATATATACACATCAACACTATGTTACTTTCTTTTAAAGGGAGTTTTATATAACAAGTTAATAATAAACACAATTTAATTTAATAAATAAAAAATCTATACTCATAAACTAGCACAAGTCAAACAAAAACAATGTAGTATATAAAACATCAGATTTTCGTTATTTCTGTTATTAGACATTTAGATAATCAAAAAAGTAAATATATATGCATTTATCAACTAACTAATTAATAACATTGACTATACTTTGAAGACTGTTCATAGATAATACACTACAAAAAGTATAGTTTAATTAAGACACATTATTTACACATAAACATAATATTATTTAACATTTAAAAAATAAATATTTATGCATTCATAAAAGTCTTTATAAAAGGTTTAATAAATTGTAAAATAAATTACAAAAATAAAAATAATTTTGAAAATATTTTAAACAGTAAACCATTATACAGTAATACAAAAACTTTAAAAGACTACTACTATCAAATGATATCTTTTACTCTAAAGCTACAGTTATAACTCAAACATACTTACATTTAAATATTAGTAGACACAAAATTTAGCTTTGGTTGAAACAGACAGATGGCCAGCAAAAACGCCCAATCAACTGTATTAAGGGAAGAGACGCTCATAAGCTTATGAACAACAAACAATAAAAATTTTAGACACGCCATAGAATATATCTGGGGGCTTTTTATTTTTATTTATTTTAACAAATCGTAAATTAATTTTTTTTATAAGTATTATAAAAAAATAACAGTAAAATAATTAAAAGATTTTTTAAAATTTTATTTGATATAATAAAAAATAAATTTTTCATAATAACAAAAAAAGTGTATTTTTAAATTTTAAAATTTATATATTACACCCAAACATTTTACTAGAGTTCATTCCTCTCAGTTGATGTTGTGAAACACTCAATAATATTACGGGAACGATTTATTTAAAAACTATTAAAAATTTAGCATTACCGTTTGAGCTAGGGCGTTTAATTTTTAAAAGCAACAAGATAAGAATGTTCTTAAAAAAATAATCAATTTATCAACAATAAAAAAATTATAAAAAATACTTGATTAATATCAACTTAAAAGGTACATTGTAGCTTTGCAAACATTTTCACGAAGCAATATTTGCAGACAAAATTACATTATGTGGGAGGGACGAATTCATCAAACCATTTAGTCTATCTCAAATAAAACAAGCACTACCATGCAATATATGACTAAACATGTTCTAAATTTTACATACATATAATACTAACCAAATTTTTTGATATTTGCCAAAAAATTAAAAAAAAAACTTTTCGTATTTTATCTAACTAAATTGCATTTTATCGTCATAACAAATTTATTTCAATTAATATTCGTCGATATTTATTTAGAAACTTATTTAATTTTTAAACGAGCAAACAGGTTTTTAGTAAAATTATTGATCTTCGTCAAAATTTATTAAAAATTTTTAACTTAAGTTATAAATTAATGACAACCTTTGCAATCATTGTCAAAATTCAGAATAAATTTCTTCAAATGGAAGTGCTTTGAGATAAAATGAAGAGTAAAAGATATAAAGTAGAACTTTTTAAAAATTTAATTAATTTTAAATAAATAAGCCTCCGAGTTTACAATTTAAACTAATTAATTTAACTTCATATAACAGTCATATGACTATTTTTTTAAACTAAAATTTTTATATACTACAATCTCCTCACGTGATATTTGTTGACACTTTCCAATGTTTTCTCTGATTTATTCAATCCATCATTTCAAAGACACTTGCCTTCAAATGATACTCCTCTTTCCCTTGACTCTCATCTTTAAACTGATGATATACCTCAGTCTACCTTTTCCCCTCTTTTTATTTAAATAAAGTTTCTTATCAAATTAATGATTGTTTCATCCTCACGTTTTAGATTCCGATGAGAAAATCTCTTCTTCATTAGTCATAATTTGTAAATTTATAAAATATATATGATATAAGCAAATTCTGTTCACTTAACTTTGATAAAATAAACGCTCTCTCCCTTTTTCATCTAAACACATCATTGTTACAAAAACACCTTGAAAATTTAAACATAATACTATTATTTATTAATTTTGATTTTTCCATTTTTGGTATAACTGAAACAAAATTTTAAAAAAAACATCCTCAATTCATACAATTTTTATTAATAACTTAAACATTGAGCACCGACTGAACCTTCTTGTGGTGGATATTATAATTATATAAAAACTAATATATAAACAAAGAGATTACTTAACAATTTAAACACTTAATTGTTTAGAATCCACATTTGTTAAAACTATTTTTTCTAAAAGTCTAATATTATTGTTGGTTGCATTTGCAGAAACTTTTGCATGGGCATGTTTCAAATAATATGATGTCTGTTCTACTTCAAAAAAATTTTATAATTTCTTTTGTAACCATAGGTTACAAAAGGAATTATAAGTATCTATTCAAATTCACAATCATTTCCAAAGTACGTACGCTCGAATAGGGGAGAGTGTCTGCATATAGCGTATATGAGATGGGGGGGGGGCATGGTATCAATTATAAAAGTAAGAAGACACTAAATTAAAAAAATATATCTTAAAATGTTTGGTAAGTAGGTTAAAAGCGTAAGTTCTTTTTGGGAGGTAGAAGGTACTTAAAAAAACATATAGCAAAATGAAAGGGGAGGGAGGGGAAGAGAGGGTTGAAATAAAGCGTACGTACTTTATGGTCGACTTCTAATTACATTATTTAAACTTTCTAAAAAAAATTAATTAGAAAAATTTTTTCTATTAATGTAAAAAATCTTCATGAATATTGTAAAAGCAATAAAAATCTAATAAATGTTAAAAATTTAATAAATCATCTCTCAACTGTTTAAAATAAAATAAAGTTTATAAAACTGACCTGAATCTAATCTCTAAATCATTCAGCACTTTTTTTTAAAAATGTTGCACATAAACTTAAATCCAATATTCATTCGTCTTACGCCAACTATCAAAAGTATCTTATATATCCAAATTTAACTATCAAAAGTTTCTTATATAATATCTAAATTTACACAACCTACTATTTTTTTTACAATCTCGTGCAGAGATCTCCAAATAGATTGTAAAAAAGAAAAATTAGGTAACAAAAAAGAAAGGGTAAAATACAATATACAAAACTCAATAACTCAAAATCTAAAGTTTTATTAAAAATTCTACTCTACTCGTATCACAGATATTGATAAAATAAATAATTCCTGAAAATTTCATTATGATAGCATATATACATTTTGAGATTTTTTTAAAGGTGTGCTTAAATTACAAAGTCTTAGAAAATGCAAAACAAAAATAAATTCATAAAATAGTATTCTTTTTATTAATATATGTAAAAAATATATTTTAAAAGCCACAAAGTTCATAATACTCTCTGCACTTTTCTTTTGACTTATCGTCGTTGGAGAAACGTTGAACTTGTAACAATATACGCTTAATCTTATAACTTTTACTCGACTAAAATGATAATGGCATAATTCGTTTTTTATTTAAAAGTTAGCAACCAGCTAAAGAAAAATGTCCAGGTTTCGTATTTAGTTGTTCATAGATTAAAATAACAGACTTCATACCAATCTTTTAATTTGCAACAGCATCATACAGTCCAAATTCAATCAAGCCAACATAATTACTTTTTGGGAGTCTTTCTTATATTAATATCATTTCCATATCAAATTAATAAAACTATTGTTAAAATTTTGGGTTTTTCCATCCAGACACTTTGCTAATTCAGATTCTTTACTTAAATAAGCATATATTGGCTTTTTTTACATGAATACCGTCCACAGAAATTCCAGGTCCAGGTTTGTACATGGAAGAAGAATTGACTTTATTGATGTTGTAGTTGGACCAATCCAGTTGAACAGTAAATTTGAGAAAGCTACGTGGAAAAGGCTGGCTAATACTGTTTTTTTCATTTCATGCATGTTTTTGTATTTTTTTGGATGGCAACACCAAAAAATTTTTGCAAGCGGTCAATAACTACATTACTTAGACAATCACAAGCATCAAGACCCTTACCATTTTTTTTTAACTTATGTAAGCGTGTACCACTTTTAATAATGTCTGCTTTTGATAATGTCTTACATACTCCAACTTTTTTGCCTCAATGCCGGGGTATACATCTTTGATAGAAAGTTGAGATTTCCTATATCTATTTTTATTAAAAAAGAAATTCAGTTTATCTTTATTTGTGTTTTTCAATAGAACGTTTAAAAACTCTCGCTGCGCCAACAAACTCCATACTACCAGCTGTACCCTGATAATGGTACAAGTAAATGTGCTGCTTTTTCCAATTAGCATATGCATTTCCAATTAGCATTGCATATTTATTTGATCTTCCTCAACTTTCTTTCATACACCAAGCATTTATTTAACATCAATTATTTTTCCACTTTCTATCAAAATAGTGCTAAAAACGCCATTTATCGACTGAAATCCTTTTTTGCCATGATCCATCGCATAACACAGCAACATCAACAACATTATCATCAGTCGCATTTTCTCTCATTTCAATTGCAGCATCAGACATTGTCTCATCTGCTTCACAATGTTTTTTACGATGTTTTTTATGTTTATCATTTTTGCATAGTTTTTTAGGGCATGGCTTAGGCATATTCATTAGCTGAGTAAATTTTTCAATGCCAGTATGACCATAGTCTAACACTATCATTGCATAAATTGTTTTATTGTTAGTATCAAACTCTTTGTCACAATTTTCTGATGTATAAAATTTATAAAAAAAAGCACAAGATAGTGTTGAACATTTTATATATAACAAAGGTACTAGACCATTTTTTTTTCTGTTATGATCATCAAGGCACAATGTACAGTATTCACATTGAGGATAAATTACCAATGAAAAAACTTTGATGAAATTTCTGTGTCTATAACCCTGTAACCACTTATTTTTTAACTTTTTTCAGTTGATAGTTTTGTGATGACTTTATCTTGGATAATGCGTTTAAAATATTTCTGTCATTTGACTCACATGTATTTACATTACTTGCATCATCATGCTTCCATTATATCCATTAAAATCTCTTCGTTTTTTTTTTTTATTTTGCTCTTTGCTTTACTCTGTTATTTATATTTGCGGTTTTAATAACACCCATATTAGTTGGTTTTGTCATACTTTGTTTATGCTGTTGTTTAACTTAGCTTTGTTTACTTTTTAAATCGTAAATTAGTTGCAACATAAATTGGTTATGTTTTATTATAATAAGGAACAGAATGTTAAAAACCAAATAGAATATAAATCCAAATCTGATTTAAAATTGGTAATTCAGTAAAAGCACACAAAAAGAACATTCACTCATAGTGTTGCTATGAACATGGTTTTTTATTTTTTGTGTTCAAAATAACAAGAAATAAGTAAAAGTTTATTAATAAACTTATAATTATTTTTGCAGATTTGAAATCTACATAAAATTTTGTTCTACAGTTGTTAAAAAATTCAAATTTTTAAAATTTTTTGAGGTTAGTTGCCCCTTAATAAGCTACTTCAAACACTCATTTATTCTCGAGTGTAGTCTTAACTCATTATTTAAATGAGTTGTCGGTTGTTGATCAAAATATTCTATTTGTCACGCATTAACAAGTATAACAGTAAAAATCAGAAAAGTTTTTGATACTGGTTATTTTA